CTCGTGCAGCTCCCTCGATATCCGACCGGCGTATCTGGCCAAAAACCTTGTGTCACTAAATGACGGTGTGCAGGAGCAACGGCTGCAGTGCGTGGCGAGGTGTCCCGATGGGGTAGCCCGTGTAGCCGCAGCATGTTCGCGGGCGCGATCATTAAAGCATCTGCCCGTTTGGCCAATGTACGATGATCCGCATGACATGGGGATTTCGTATATGACGCCCGTGGCACATTCCGTGTACCTGTTGCGGTGCTTCGTATTGCAAGGATCTGCGGACTCACGGGGATTGTTGATTCTGCACTATCGGCAAAGGAGCACACTTTTCTACGAAGGGGGCTACACCGGACGTAGTATGGCTGTGTAGTATGACTGTGTTGTTTGCCATGAGTATATAAGAGAGTGTTCTTTTCATAAACGCTAGTTGCGAGTGCGCCTTGTTCACGTCTCCTTTCTTGTATCTTGTTCCTTGTGTGTTTTCGGCGCCCTGAAAGTTAGTCGTAAACGGCTTTCACTTTTATTATTATTATTATTATTATTATTATCATCATCATCATCATTGAGAAGTGCAGTGGCCTTTCATTGAAGTGCCTACATTGACATTAGCCTCAAGAAACATATGGCTCTAAGCTTTAGAGTTCTGGGATGTGCACGGTTCCTTCTTGCTCTGGAGAGAACACACTAGAATATTTCTTCGAGCGGGACCAGTATTTAGTACTTGCGTACCCAAGATGTGAATATGAATACATTGTTAGCTTTGCTTCTAAAACCACCAATCGCGTATAGCTCAAAAGGCAAGACTTGTCAGTATCAAATGACACATCATACATTCTAGTATAGTCGTAGAAACAGCAGTAACATGACAGCTCACTGGTCGGTGTCGATGCCTCCTTGCTTGCCCAGAAGATTGGGGCTCATGGTACCAACGACCGCCAGCACGGCTTCAGACTGCGGTGTGAGTTGGTGGCCGTTGCGCCCTGCGCCTGTGCAAGACAAGGCTCTTTTTTTATATTTTTCGGCATTGGATTTTGTCTGATTGCAGCAAGTGCATTTATTGTTTTGATTTGATTGTATTATTAGGTTCAAATCCAGAACTCTTGATTACTTCTATAATTTAACAAAAAAAATGAAAAGTCAATCAAATTCCTTCAGCACGCAGAATGCGTGCTTCATTTTTATGTGCAGTAAAAACGCATTTACAGTAAACTCATCGGTCGTAGAGTGGGCCTTCTTGGAGAGCGTCAACTCTGCGTGGCTGCGAGCTTTTAAGTTCTGCCACTGCTTCTTTATCTGTGGTACTGTGCGTAGCGTCGATGGATGACTCCCGAGTTCAGCACGGATTCGATATTTTGCCATGCTTTCTTTTTAGCAACTTTTGTAATCTTGGTACTAAATTTAATCTTAATTACGAGTTTACGTTTCTCAATTTTGTTCGCCAATTGAGACTTTTCGTAATAGGACCAAATTGCATTCTTTACTCTGGAAGGAATCCGCGATGGACCGGCGACATTCATGTCTGCGTGCAGCAAAAGCAGGCTGCCGTCTGTGATGGAAAAATTAATTATCAACGTTTATCGAAAATGGTTCCGGGAAAAAATACTTCCCGTGCCATTTTTATTCTTTATAAATTAGCCTTCTAAGAACGCGCAGGAATTTCTGTAGACACCTTTATTCGGCGCACGCGCTGGACGTCGACGACGGTGGTGACAGTCGATCGCGATACGAAGCGTTATGACAGCGTTGGTGTGCACTAAACACTACCCAATACCGCGGATCGGTGTCTCTACTTTCTTTTTTTTTTTCTTTGTTCTCTTTTTTGCATGGCACCACGGTATGTATGAGACATGTGCCGCAGTTTTGCGACTCTCGTCGTTTCTTTTTGGCCAAACCGACCGCAGCGTAGCAGAAGCAGACAATCTGTCGCTTGCCGCCTCGCGTCGCCGGCCGCTCCTTATTCGCTTTCTTATTGGACAGGAGGTCGCAAATCGTCTCTTCTACGTCCGCATTCATTGGCCGTGTTCCAAAATTTACTCAGTCTCACTCTGGGGTAAAGGTTTTGTACCTTGGCGTTCGAAATCCTACCCGTGTCCAGCATTACTCTATTGGTGTTGTCACGTGACATGATCCGCCAGGGTAACTCGGATCCATTTGAGTAGATTTTGAACGCTCCCTTTGTTTTCTCCGGTATTTGTTCAGTTTTCCCTAGATTCCCTTTCTAAGCCCTGCTCACTCCGTTCTTGTTAGTCTTGGTTTTGGACTCAAGTGTTTTCGCCCGACACGTCTTGATCTCAGCCACGGTCTCAGCCGAGACTTCTCGGCGCCTGAGTCAAAAATTTGAGTCAAGACTGCGCAGCGTTCCTTCTAGCAAGCGGCCCGAGGTTCGCTCAAATGGAAGCATCTGCGCATGCGCAGATCCCTACTGCAGCGCCGCCGCAGCAAAGTGACGTCACAGCCTCGCGTTGGTGTATCCGTAGCCGACGCTACAAGCTGACGGGACCAATCAGACAGCCTCAAAATCGCACCATCGTGATGCCTCGTCGAGTTTCCGTACCTATTCTACGACGGTGGTCCGAGAAGTACTTAGCCTACAAAAGAAAAACGAAAATTTTGGAGAAGTGACGATTTATTTTCAATATAGTCTCCTTTTAGTTCGTCACACTTGACCCAGCGATGCTCGAACTTCTTTAACCCATCTGACAAATACGTTTTCTCGAAGTCTGCAAAGTAGGCTTCCATGGCAGCGATGACCTTTTCATTCGACTCAGATTTCTGCCCGTCGACTGACTTTTTTACGTTTGGAAACAATCAGAAGTCGCACGGGGCCAAATATGGAGAACGCGGTGGATGGGGCAGCAGTTCGTAGCCCAATTCGACCAGTTTGGCCGTGGCGAGGGCGGAAGTGTGAGCCGGTGCGTTGTCATGGTGAAACAGCACTTTTTTCTTCGCAAAATGGGGCCTTTTTTTTGCAGTTCGGTGTGAATCGGCCCAATAATTCAGCATAGTACAGCCCTGGGACCATTTTGTCCTTCTCCAGGTAGTCGATGTAGATCACACCTTGTGAATCCCAGAAAACGGTGGCCATCACTTTTCCGGCCGATAGGACAGTCTTCGCCTTCTTCGGAGCACGTTCGCCGGGTGAAGTCCACTGTTTCCACTGTTCCTTGGTCTCTGGTGTGTACCAGTGTATCCATGTTTCGTCGGCGGGCACGAAACGCCGCAACAACTTCTTCGGATTGCGCTTAAAGAGCGTCAAACACTGCTCTGAAGTGGTCTCACGGTTGCGCTTGTTGTCCGGAGTGAGCAAACCCGGCACCCATCGCGCCGACAGCTTTCCCATGCCCAAAATTTCGTGCAGGATATGACCCACGCAGTTTTTTTAGATGCCTACTGTCTCAGCTATCTCGCGCACCATCAATCGGCGGTCTGCCATTACGAAATCGTAGATTTTTATCACATTATCCTCCGTGGTAGCCGTTTTCGGGGCACCTGGGCGTGACTCATCAAAAACCGACGTGCGACCACGTTGAAACTCGTTAAACCAATTTTTGACGGTCGCCATTGAAGGAAAAAAGTCACCGTACACTGCATCCAAACGCTCTTTGATTTCACTGCGCGATTCAACTTCCAAAAACAGGAATCGAATCACCGACCGATATTGCTCTTTTTCCATTTTTTTAAAATTTGTGGACACGCGCGCTTCCACATGCGGTCAAAACAAACTACGATCCCGATTCGGTTGAAATTACGATAGTAGCCGTCTACGAGAAAATACTACACGATGGTAAATTTATCTTGCGACAGTGGCGCCATCGGGCGGTGAGGCTAAGTACTTATCAGACCGCCCTCGTATCGTCGCCGAACCAATCGTAAACCAAAAAAAAAAAATGCCTAGTGGTTCGCGCTTTTGGAGCTGCCTGGTTGGTCCCAACACCGCTAGCGTCGGCTGCGTTTAGACTTAAGCTGAAACCAAGTATAGAAACCCCGCAATCTAGATTATGAATCACCTGAGTCAGACCGCGGCCGACTCCACAATCAATAGGGAAACTCAAGCGTCGTCGAAAGTGCATCGTCAGGGCGCTGCGTTGTCTTTGAGCGTTTGTTTTAAGCCAGAAAACGCAGCCAGGGAGTGCAAGATCACTGCGCACTCACTGTGCGTAATTGGTTTAGTCGACTGTAGCAAACGCACGAAGACGACGAGCGCCGCTATGACGACGCACTTTTTGGGGCTGCCTGACTGACACCATTTGGATGGTAGCGACGACAGCGTTCACAGTGAAACGCACTGCGTAGTTCGAGGGAAAACGAAATGCGTAGACGCTTTTATTTCTCGTTATGATGGACCGCCATCTTTTAAAGGGGGTCCACAAACACACCCACTCGAAAATGACAAGTGAAACGGGCCACAGGGCATCTATAGAGCTTCACAGGTATCTGCTTTCTCGTTGAAGAACTTTAAACGAAGATAAAAGTGCTCAGTTTTTCTGAGTGTTCAGGTCAAATTAGTCACTCGCAACTGCCCCCCCCCTCCCCCCTCCCCCCCCCCCCCCCCCTTATTGCTATCCACTGGCGGGGATGACAAACTCGAACAATATTAGCTCTCGGTCTTTGCACCGATTATCGGCTGGGTGAAAGACGCTGAGTCACTAAACTGCAGTGTCCGATATGCCGAACAACGGAGCTACAGCGCATGCTCTGAAGGCGTTACGCAGCCGAGCAGATGGCAGCGCGCAGGAGACCATTTTTCTCACCGTAACTTGGCAGATACGAGGCGCGACACTTCCCTTTCTGCCCGCTCCTCACACTCTCTCTATATATATAACTTGTTTTTTTACCCTGATTTATGAACGACTCACATTATGGAAGATTGTTCTGGGGAGCGGAACTTGTGCAATCTAGTGAGGGATTATCTTAAATAGCAGGAGTGCGGAATTCGCATCGCAAACGTGGGCAGGTCTATAGTGATGGCTGCAGTAACAAGTGGACGACAGCACTGACAACAACGATAGCAGCGACACCAACCGCCTGATGATAAAGAGGAACACTCCCGCTGATTCATTCACACCTTGGCGGCAGCGGCAGACGGTCGGACCTCACCCCGGCAGCATTTTCTGACGAATTTTTGAAGGTTGGTGAGTTTCTTTTTCGTACTAATCTGTTTTCCTTGCAGAGCTGCCGCTCCTGTTACCTACAGTTGTTATGATAATTAAATTTATTTATGGACGATCTTCCTTATTCGTTGTTCGGTGATATTTATTGATTTATTGAATACCCGCAAGGTCCCCCCAAGAAAGGCAGTACATACGGGCGGCAACAAAGATTTTGAAGCTGAAAAATGACTAGAAGAGGTACGGAAACGAAATGACTTGAGCGTGAGCTTCCTACCACCAGTTTCAAAGACAGCCAGTGAGAACCGCAATGCGTATTGCGATCGTCACGTCAATAGTTCATGCACGATCAAGGGTACGGTAGTTGCGAGCCTTGCCTCTTGGTTGCGTCAACCCGTGATAATCTCTCCTAGTAGTAATGCCCAAGGGTTCTACGCCCTATGGCCTTCATATATTTTGTCCGTTACATCATTTACGGCCATGCCGGTATTTAATGTGCCACGAGCGTTCGGTTCACCGTGTAAGTTTCGCACCATAGAAGTAGTGACTCGAGGGAATCATAAGCATAAATAACCGTCAGTACCCAGCAATGGCGTATGGTTGGCCCGACAGAGGTCCCCGCGTCCTCGGATCAAGTGGAGTAACTGTATATGCTCCGCTTGGCGAGCATAGTACCTCAACGGTGCTCCCAGAGCGGCCATGTTGGATCCAAGGCCACACAGCGGGAAGCGACCGTCGCTTCTGCAAGAACCGCGTATGGCGTGGCTGTGAGGCGCCGTGCGGAGCAGAGAAGATATAGTGCGGCGACACGCCGTGCGTGCGCCTTCGACCCGTCATTTGCCACCTGTTCCTCTGTATGCTTTCGGTAGAATGCAGTAGCCGACGAAAACGTCGTCCCTCTGCAAGCCATAGCTATGCGTCGTTGTCTGGCCCGAAGTGCCCGGATGTGCCACTCGCGTATCACTGCGCGAGCGCCCCAGACGCGAGCTAGGCGGTCCTGCTCCGTGTCGTTTTCGTCCCAGACTTGGAAAACATGTTTTAAAACAATGCGCGTGTTATGAAACAACGCGATTATACTGTATACAGTGGCTACGCATTACAGGGACTTTTCGTAGATCGTTTTCGTCGTCCCGCAACGCCCTCCGCAACCCGCTGCGATACCCAGAACTCTAGGGCCAGGAATGGGCAGTATTTCAAAAACAAGTATTTGAAATACGTATTTCAAATACTTCGTGTATTTTGCATTTGTATTCAATTACGAATTGGGTGATGTATTTGACGTGTGTATTTAAATACTAAAACGTGGGTATTTCAAATACGATTGTAATTAAATACAATTTTGTGGGCGAAAATACATACATCAAATCTATTGTCACTGTCAAGAGCAGTAAGAAAAGCACGCTCTGCACCGAATGCAGTGTCTCTCAATCAAGCACGAGCGTTTAGTGACTTTGTGATTACGGTGCTAGTCCAGGGCAAGAATAGTGACGAAATCGACGTTCACAGGCGGACTGGCTAAATAAGTACCTGTGACGACTTGTGATGCTTTCCAGCCTGATTTTCATTCATATTTTTGCCTGGAACATTCTAAATGAGCGGGTCGTCCAGATTTTCGTAACTGATGCGAGTTGCAACAATAAAAAATTCTCTAGCTAGTGCTGCGCGTCTTGGTCGTCTCGGTTCTTTGTTGGTTTATACCAAAATGTAATCGACAAAAAAAAAAGCTGCTTGAAGCTCTGTACTTTTTTCACCTATTACATCCAAGTTGATTAATTTTTTTTTGTGATTATATTTCTATTACATTACCAGAGTCTTGCACACTAACTCCAGAGTGTGCGATGCAAAATTAAAATGAGATGCCCAGAAACCCGTTGCAGGTGCCCTGAAGTCGCTGACGCAAATTTTGAGGAATGTATTTGGAAAACTATTTGGAGGGAGACCAAATACATTTGGTTGTATTTGTATTTTGTATTTAAATGCTTTTTTTGGAAATGAAATGAGATTTGTAATTAAATACATTTTGACGAAGTGTTTTGTATTTGTATTTCGATACATATCTGCATGTATTTTGCCCATCCCTGTCAAGAGCCGAGGCGATCGGCACGCAGGCGCAGTAGCGACTTCGTTGCGGAGGGCTTAGCGGAGGGGGAAACGCGGTCTACGAAAACACCCTAATGTTGAATGGTCAAGGAAAGTTCCAGTTCGTTTTATTTTGGCGTAGGATATACCCAGTTTTTTGGCGAAAACTTTTAAAAACCCTAATAATTAGGGCGTTTGAAAAACAAAAGGAACTGTCTTCGGGGACAAACTACCAGCCACGGCGGACGTCAGGAATTGGCAAAAATATACTAATTAGCCAGCTGATTAATTAAAATTTGTGAATTTGCCTTTTAATTAGTAGAAATAGGCATATGTACTGGGGGTTTCGTGTATCTAGAGCTGTCGTATTAGGATATCTTTGAAGCACTAGCTGCCTCCACCTCTTGTGGTGTGGTTTGATGCTGCACCTTGTTGATTCCTTTCGCTCGGATGGTTAGCGCATCGAACCAATCCCTTCCCAAGAGGCTGCAGCCAGATCCTTTCACCACTAGAAGCGGCAGGAGGTAATCTTTCGACTTGAAACGTACCCGTGCTTAAGCAACCCAAGAGGTTTTAGGCCTTCACCGCTCCAAGTGCAGAGCTCCAAGTCGTCTTCCGTGAGCTTGGGTGGATTGTTGGGCCAGGTTGAGCGAAATGTTTCTTCGCTGATCAACGAACATGCAGCGCCAGAGTACATTTCCAACAGAAGTGGCTTACCCTGCATCCAAAGGGAATCGCGGAACTTCGGAACGTCCCCTGGCGTGTGTAGCTTGTTCAGTTCGTAGCAGGAACATCTAGAAAAGCACATTGGCTGGCTCGCCACTTCAGTCACTGCTACATTATGGTTAGCTTTCTTGTAACCTGGTTTGTCCTGTTGCTTTTTCTTCGCAACGCGTGCTTTTTCGATGTGTCCAAGCTTTTTGCAGTAGCGACTCTTTGTATTTCTCAATCGGCATCCCTGTGGGTCATGCTGACCTGTGAATCGGTAGCACTGTCGATTGTTGCGCGGAGCAGCATCTTTGTTTTCTGCCCCAGTCTTATTGATCTGGAGGTCTTTTTTCTTCATGTTTTGTTGTTGTTTCGAGGCACTCTCTGCTCGAATGGCAATATCTAAGGCGCTTGAGAACGTTAAATTTTTTTCTGCGAACAGGCGTTGCAGCAGAAGCTCGTCACGGATGCCGCAGACAAACATGTCAAGCAACATCACGTCCAACGGCAGTTTGGTGTTCCGTTGTGGCGTTGCTGGTTGTCATCCGTAGCCGCTACACCGGATGCCTGTTGTGACGTTGCTTGCTGCGATGCCGATTGTTGCGCCGTCGTCGATGTCACACGCGTAGTTGCGAAAGCCAGGATGCCAAAATTAGTCACCAGCCTTGAGTGCCGCAACGCAGCTGTTGATGAAATCATCCAGTAGTTGGTCTCGCTGCTAAAACTTGTACTGGCTATAAAGTTCTGATGGTTCAGGATCGGAGTGGGCGCCGAGGATTGTCATGAGGTCTTCGAACTCACGTCCCCGGGTTCTCTGTGTGCCACCAAAGTTTCGGGACCGCACAGCGTGAGTAGGAGTGGTCGCTTCTTGTCCATGGCGCTGATGCCATTCGCTATGAAGTAGAAACCCAGACGTTCAATCCACGATGCCCATGACTTGCCCGAAAAGGATTCCATTTTGGCTTGAGTAGGCATGGCTCGTGGTCGAAGGTTCCAGGCGCCGTAGGCTCTTGAATTCTCGTCGCCAGTGTCATATCCGAGTAGTAAGAAGACACTACAGCCCGAATACTCTTAAGTCGCTATGAGTTGGCGCGCTCAAAGATCACGCGCCCCTTTGCAGGCAAAACGATCTTCTGTATTACGCGAGTCACGCCACGCTAGACATCCCATGTACAAAAGACACTTCAGCATGGACACAAAGGGGCAGTCCACCCTTTAGGGATGCCCAATTTTAGGGATTTTTTTATTGAAGATGCGTGGGCGTCAAGCTAGATCCTATTTGGTCCGGAGCCACCTCGGTGGCTCCGAGGCGAGAGCGCCGGCCTACGAATCCCCAGGTGGTAAGTTCGAATCCCGACCGAGGTGCCCGCAATATGACGGAGGCTTATTGCGGAGAAGGCGCCGTGTAACCGAGCTTTCGGTTGCACGTCACAAGATCCCCAGGTGGTCCAAGTTAATCCTCAGTCCTCCGCTGGGGCGTGCCAGATGCCCGTCGAAGGTTTGGCACTTAAAACCCCCAAATTTGACTTTGACCTATTTGGCCCGGAGAGCTACCGTGACCTAGATTCAGCTCTGAAGACGCCGCTTTTGTATTCATTGTGGCTTATCTTGTGCTCCCAAGTTATTTCTCCTTCCTACATGCGTCACTTATTTCCATCGACCTGCCCACCATTTTCATAGAGGAGACACCTCTCCGGAAGAAAAGACACTAAAGTCAACTCAAGGTATCAAGCACAATTTGATGTCATCCGATAACGCGTGCTGCACCGGATCTAACAAAGAAGTTTTTTTCTTTTTTCCAGAAACATGGAAGTTTTTTTAAAGCACAATGAGCCATAACAAAAGATAATATATTTAGAAAGAATGAATGATCCTCACAAGTTCGAAGCGCAGGAGCAGCCATGTTTCCGCTGCTATCCTAGCTTGACATCGCGCTCCTGACACTGCCCATGTCGAATGACGCCATGGAGAAAGTATTCAGTCTCGTGTTCCTCACAAAGTTAGACCTAAGAAACAGATTGTCCCTTCCAACTCTTTAAAACATCCTCTATACAATGTTTGCTTTCCTTGAGAGGAACGAGTGCTTTAAAGACGTCAACCCTAGTGACGAATGCTTTGCCTGTTTTAACACGGATAGCATGTATGAGGCGGGTCAGCTGAGCACCAACGAGTGTTGCATGACTATATGACAGTAAAAACACGTGTAAAATTTCTTTTGTCATTTTCTTGTTTGAAATAAAATGTTTTCGATACTTTTTAAAATGTCATAGATCTTGAAGCTGCTGCTAAACCCTATAGATGCAGGCTCAGGGCCTTCGCCCTGAGTTCGTGCGTTTTGGGATTCTGGAGATATCTTAAGTATGACTACTTTTGGGCTATATAAATATCTTGCATTTGGCTTCGTTTCGGCTACGCCGTGTGGCATTTAGCGGTTTGAGCTAGAAGCTACGTGGCAATTATTTTTTAGGGTTAGTGTCGTTTTTACCTCCAACCTCGGAGTTTGCCATGTTTTTTAAACCAGCTCGTTTGTGCATCGTTACATTCACTTCATTCTTGAGCGCAGCTCTTAGGCTCCCGTTTTCAGGTTGAGCGGCGTCGCCCTCGCCATCGACGTCAACGCGACCGCGCGTTCTATTATGGGACGTTTTCCATAATGACGTCTTTCATTCAAATGTCTTTTTAATTTTCTTGAAAATACTGGATTTTTAAACAAATTATAGAACTATTTCCCCATAGCTTAGTTCAACTGAACCCTCTTTATTGATTCACCTTGTTTGGCGCAGTATGGCCATTGTTGCTCTTGCGCCATTAAAACCGTAAACAACAATCCATAATGACGTCACACGTGACGTCACGTGTGACATCACACGTTGACATCAACGTGTGGCGTCGCGTGGATGAATGTGACCTCACCCGAAATTTAGCGGAAAAATGTTTTCCGCTACATTTAACGGAAAAATATCCCTGCTAAATATAGTGCGGAAATCGAGGTCATGTGACCTCATCACCAATTCCGTTTTCCCGCTAAATTTAGCAGAAAAATTCTCGCTAACTTTCCCGCTAATTTTAGCGGGAAAATATTGGTAAATAGAAAGTTTTCGTAGACCGCGTTCCCCCCTTCACTAGGCCCTCCGCAACGAAGAAGCCACTACTGCGGCTGCGCGCCGATGGCCTTGGCTGTAGAGTTCCGGGTATGTAGCGAGTTGTGGAGCGTTGCGGCGACGACGAAAGCGTTCTACAAAAACTCCCTAATTTCTCGCTAAATGTGAGGGAGCATGAGAAGAGGAGGGGACGGTACGGAGAGGGAGGAGGGGCATACCCCCCACCCCCCTCCGTACCCTCCCCTCGTCCTCCTCAAGAGCTGCGCTCCGATTCGGCGTTACAGAGAATTGTGAACGTCTCCATTTTTTTAATCCATTTATTTGTTTCCAGGGCCTACAGATTATTCTGTACTGCTTGCTTCCCCAAGACAAGTGAAGTACAGCTCCTCCTCCACCACAATGCTTGAGACTGTGGCTCGAGAAATGTTGGTGAGTTGGTTCAACTTCATCATAAGCGGAACAACAACATATCTGTTAAAGACGTCAACTATTTTGCGCTACACTGTTAAGGCTAGCTTAGCCTCCCACTCGAATTCCTCGCCCCTTTCAGACTGACATAGAACGCTCTCCTGCACAGCGTCGTGTATATATTCTAAAAATAAAGGCGGACGTTTGCTTCCAGGTTCGGTTGGCTCTGCAGTCTCATATACTTACTCGTGGAGTACATCACCTTGGAGCGCAGCCTAGCCATGTTCGTAGGGCACTGACTGACTGTCAGAAATTATATCCTGGTTTGTGAGTGGACACGTCGGCTTTTGTGCACAAACCTTCTGGTTCATACCGCTCGGCCGGTTCACCAATCTCTCGGAGAGTCGGACCACATTTGCCTCTCGCTTTCTGCTATTCGGCGTAGTCGCCCAGTGCCTCACAAACCAGACCCAAGAATTTTGAGCCTGACGTTCAACCAATTTTAAAGGGAAATAATTGTCACTATTGTTATGTCAAATATTTCTCTAGAAAGTGCGTCTTACCCATGAAGATCCAATGGTTTTGGGGCCGATAAGTTTGGCGTAGTAGGAATGGGTTGACTCGCACAGCCTCGGGGTTTTCGCCCTTGAATTAGGGGGGTGTCTGCCGCCATCTATCGTCGTGGAAACCCATCGAGACAGCGGAGACGGCCGTCTCTGCTGTTCTGGCGAATCCGGTATCTCGGTGCGTCAGCGGAAGCCCTCTTCGTCGGCGCAGACCGAAAGCGCCGCCGAGTGGTAAAAGTGATGTGCAGGCGTTCTCTTCGACGCGGTGTGTCCTCGCCGCTACAGGGAGTATTCACTAGACAGCCATATTTGTGGGTGCTGTTTAGAGCGCATGCTCAGAACGAGCTTACATCAATAGGCTGCTAAGACCGGCACTTTTGATGGTGCGGAATGCAAGTCGCAAAAGAGCTGTGAAAGCTCGCCATCAGCACGCGCTCAGCATTCGCGCACACAGCTATGGCCGCCAGAGAATACTCCCTACTGGAGGATTTGGAGCTATAGGCGCACTGCGTAAAACTATCGAGAATGGTTCTACCGAAGTCAACAGGAATTGGAAATCACTTCGCTATATCCGCTATTTCGTTATAACCGACTTCGTTTATAACGAAGTGCAAAGTGGAATGGAAAATCGTGGTCGCTTCGCTGTAGCCGCTGTTTCGTTATAAGCGACTTCGGTAATAACAAAGTGCAAAAGGGAATTTTATATAGTGATCATTTCGCTATATCCGCTATTTCGTTATAAGCGACTTCGGTTATAACGAAGTGCAAAAGGGAATGGGAAATCGTGATCGCTTCGCTATAGCCACTATTTCGTTATAATCGACCTCGCTCATAACGAAGTGCGAAAGGGAATGGGATATCGTGGTCGCTTCGCTGTAGCCGCTATTTCGTTATAACCGACTTCGGTTATAACGGGGTGCAAAAGGGAATGGGAAATAGTGATCACTTTGCTATAACCGCTGTTTCGTTGTAACCAACTTCGGTTATAACGAGGTGCAAAAGGGAATGGGAAACCGTGATTGCTTCCCTGTAGCCGCTATTTGTTATAATCAACTTCGTTATAAATCGTTTCGACAGTGCATATGAATTTTGTAGAATGCATTCTTCCAGTAAAGTATCTGGGTATACGTGGCGTTCTCATCTTTCTGCGCGCATACGCGAACCGCGGAAAGGGGCATTCACGGAATGTGCCGCAGTCTTGAGGCCCGTTCACACACTTGCGATCTTTAAGAACCGGGTGCCTTGGAACCTCGTAAAATCTCTTGCAACGAGAGGACACACTGGCGCCATCTATTGGGTAGCAGTGTAAACTTGGCAGCCCGGCATTATTTCCATTTCTCTCGCGCATTAGCCTCTCTTTCTTGGCGCTAAAAACTTTTGTCAATGTTATAAACGAGCCTTCGTATAGGTATTCCGCACATTTGACCTCGGAAATTCCGCAAACCCTTCGCACTTGTGAAATGCAGTTCCAGTGTCCCCGCATAGATGGCGCCAGAGCACCAGCGTGTTCTCTCGTCCTAAGATATTTTAAGAGGTTTCAACGAGTCTTTTTCGGTCCTACTCGGTTGTAAGAGTGTTCACGGGACTTTAGTAATGCCTCGCAGGAGGAAGGAGTGAACTAAAACTGAACAGAAGTGGCGATGTGTCGAGTATGTTCGTCTTTATTAAACGAAAATTTACTGGAATTTTGTGTATAGTGACTCGCTATAGAATTCGTCGCACTTTAATAACCAAAATATGGTCTTCGTAAAACACAAATTCCTTTCGCATTTCGACGAATAGTCAGCAGCCAAGCACCGCAGTGAGGCAGATTGATATTTTTACGCAACAGTATATTATCGGCCAAAATAAAAGCTGTAAGCATCGCTTTGCCTAGAAGATAAAATAGTAAACGGGTTATTTTTCGCGGGCTGAATATTTCGCGATATGGGTCAAAGCTGAAGTTTTGGAATAATTCGCTGCTATCTGATTTTCGCGAGGCGGTGACATCTGAATATAGATTACAATATGCTTACATTATACGGGAGTTGTTCGCGGAACCTATTTTTCGCGAATTGTAGGTGATCCGCTAAATTCGCGAAAATTAGGTACTCGCGAAGAGTGAATAAGTTTACAGTAAAGTACATAGGCGCCTTATTATTGCGCATAATTGTTCATATGAAATGCAAAAAAAAAAAAAAAACAGGTACGTGCGCAATGACGTTTTGAGAAAGATTGATTTTTAAACATCAAACCGAGTCGTGTAATTGGCAGGAAAAAATGGTTGGTTTGATACATTTGCACAACAATTCATCCGAAATGACAAGAGACGGAGTAATAAGATAGTATCCATCACCGTAACAATCAGGTAGGCATCGCTAATGCATGTAATGACTAAAATAATTTTTTTTAGATACTTGTGACGGCTTGAAGTTTAACTAGTTGGTTCATGCTTGTTAAAATGCCTGCTGAACATTTTAGGGACACGCAGAGAGAGACGAACAGAAAGCAGAAAGCTGGTATTTTAACAAGCATGAATCAACTGGATCAGCTTCAACCCGTTGCAAGTTTTCATTGTAGTTCTCTAATTGGACCTTGTATATGTTTTCTCTAATTGGACCCACAGGCCCTAAGCCTTCTAATTGCAAGCAACATCTGTAGAGCACGGCCAGCGGTGTGCCTGCCTTTCTGTTTGTCTCTGTGTATGTGTCTTCAAAACGTTTAGCTGGCAATTTAACAAGCATTTAAATATTTTTTTTTTTATTATTTATTGCTTCATGAAACTCCTGCAGCGCCGATGCGAAATAATTACAGATGGCGAGCAATAATAAAAAAAAAATAATCCTGGCGTTTGCAGCATAAATCGGCGTTCCATCTAACGTATTCGTGTCCTTGACTGCCCCGATAAAAAAAAACAAATTTTGGTACAGCTCTGCCCTATTGCCATCTTCTCGCATTCTGTGAACGTAATTTATTAATGTTAAAAATAAGGAAAGGTTAAATTGTAAAATAATATATTAGTACGAATCAAGTTACCGAAGAAAATTACAAAAAGATTTTAAATTCGTATTTTTTTTGCCGATTTTCCAACGGACACCTGGTTTGTATTTCTTTTTGTTGATAATATTAATGACACTTAAATATCTGTCGTATTGGCCCGGGGCCAAGCGTGGGCCAGCATTATGTCCTTTTTCGAAAGCATCAGTTTGACAATAAAAAAACGTCTTCGACACAGTAGAAGCATATTCTGCAATAGGCCATAATTAGGCAAGGTAATCGAGTTATTTTCTTTCCCATGTGAGTCTTTGTTGAACAAAGCCAAGTACTCGAACCCTCTTTCTGAGCACCTCGCGTGCAGTCGGATGATAAAGTAGTGCAAGATATCTTATTTTAGTCTTATTCAACACTACTTCCACGTGGAAATAAAACTGTTCGAACCTACTTTCATGAAGAAAAAAAAGTTCTGAGAAAGACTTGTTTTAACGAAGAGACTTTTCCTAACAACTACCTAGCACTCGAACATTAGCTTTACAATCAGAATTTTTTTTTCGTTAAAGATTATGTGAATTATGTGATGTATAAAGAACCCGAGGAGTCTTCGGGAGTATTACCTACAAAAAAGGTAATTTAATTTTGAGTAATGTATTTCGGTTAATATGACAGTTTACATTATATGTCGGATAAAAACCAACAACTACTTAAAGGGACCATGAAATGACTTTTTTACTTTTTCCACATAACTTTTACAATAAACCGTCAATGTTCACTGAATGCCGAACAGGCATCCGTTTTCGTCTCGGTTGATTAACTTCTACACAAAAAATTAATGAAATATCGACTTTTTCTTGACCGCAAATCCCCCGCAGGGGGCACCTGTGAAAGCAGGTGTTTGGAGGGTGGCGTCTCCACGGACCCCGAGCCATGCGGGTTCGCCTGCCCACGTATGGCTGTGCGTGGCTTTCCCTTGTCCGGGGAAAAGGGCATCCTGGTGGTTGAGCCGAGCCCGGGGTAGGTTTGGACCCTTCGGGGCCCCCCGGGTGAGGCAATACACCACTTCGGCCCCTGCTTCTCGTAGACGGGAGTCCTGGTAAGGCCCGGCCAGGATGATTCAGTCTAGTCGCCACTTCTACTATCCCCTCTCTACATTCACCCTTGTCTTCTCCTCCTTTTCACTCTTCTCATTTCTCTTTCCTTTTCAACTCCTTTGGCGGCAAGGGCTAACCTTGGGTGGCGACAGACACCTTGTCCAAAACCACTCTTGGTTATAGAGACTGGGCAGCACTAATAGCGTAACGTCTTCAGCCAAGCCATTCTTGTTATGGAGCGTTACCTATTCCCTTGTTGGGCTCGGTGGTGGGCGGTGCACCACAGTTTCCGAAAACCCTCCCCCTTCATATGGGTTCCAAACTTAAACCTTTTGATCGGCCCCCCAAAAGGGGCCGCACCGAAGCACTGAACACGAAACAATCTTTTGTA